ACTTAAGTATAAAATACTTTTTAAGAAAACCTTATAGGCATTTGCTCATTTCATATATATATTCTTCCTTATTTGCCTTTATCAACCGTTTTAATTCAAGAAAAGACACTGATGCCAAAATAGTTTGTTTACCGTGAATGATCAGAACCAAAACAGGGGTTACAGATAATTTTATTGATGTATAATCAACATTAATCATTACACATCAAAATATTTACAACCCCATTTCGTTTCTAATCTTTTACAAATTGTAATAAGAGAAAGAAATGGAATCCATAGTTTCTTTAACTTTGAGTTCATTTAATAAGTGAAGTTTTTCGAATCGCTTTCTAAGAATTTTGGATTATACGCGTTTATTAGCACACAACAATATCTTGTAGTTTTCAGTTTTGCACAACTAGCGTATATCATATTGTTTTGCGGGCTGTTTTGTCGTAATTCATAGAATTTCGTGGTTCCTTGCTAAAGGTACGATAAGTGGTGATTTGGCAGGTGCTGATATGAATTTGAAACTTCAAAATTCGATGAACCGTGACATTGAACCCGGAAAACAATATCGATCCAATATTTTAAATTATCCATTTCCAAAGAGTAGATTTTTTTTGGGCTTTCTTCAGTTAAATTTTTAATTTTCTATTACCTTCAATGGCCAATGTGACCAACTTTAATTCATCATTTTATATGATGTTTGATCGGTGATTGTAGCAAAACTTTTAAAAGAAAAAATGTATTCTGCATTTTACAAATAGAAAATAGGTTTGGAAAAGTATTTTAAGTAAAATACAAAATGCATTTCTCAAAAAAGTATTTAAATGCAAGATAAAAATTCGTATCTTTTATTTTGTATTTGCATTTTAAATGCAAGCGATTCAAATAAATCACATCTCTGATCCTACATATCTTGATATCTTGAAAGATTTTAATATTCCTATAACAATTAATTGATATGTCGTTTATTGTAGTAACAAAAAGAGACAAAAAGTAATGGCCAAATTAGATGGAACAGGACTAGGTTACTCTTACCACTTACCCTCAGCAGGGTGGAGTTTACGAATAAGAAATATGCTAACTCAGTTTAGTGACATTTTTAGTGAATTTAATAAGTATATATCGCCAGCATATCATCATGACCGATGTGAAAGGTACTTTTGCATGACGAGTTGTGTATAATTTTCAATAATCCATTTCAATTTTAGATCTGTCCAAATGAGATTATATTCAATGCATAAACGAGAATTCGTTATGGTTTTTATCACATTTTTTGTTTGCTTTGGACTCGCATTATTTATAGGATTAGCCGGTATGAATGCTTAATCTGTAAACGTCTCTTTTAAATATTTAAAAATTTAAAATAATAGATAACATCATTTTCATCGTCATCATAAAGTCGTCAGCCCTAAGACTGGTTGGACACGTACCTCCACTCTTTCCTATCCTGAGCTAAACTTCGCATTTCCCTAAAACTAGTACAACCCACATCTTTAACTATTTGCGAACAGTAATCTAATCTCGGTCTACCTCTACCCCTTCTAACTCGTGCTTCTGCCTCTAATATGTCTCTGACTAGACCTTCATGTCTCAGAAGGTGTCCTACCAACCCATCTCGCCTATTTTTTATTGACTTCCATAGAGTCCTCTGTTCTCCTATTCTAATACCTCTTCATTTATAACCTTCATATCCACGGTATCCTCATTATTCGTCGGTACCACCACATTTCGAACGCTTTTTTTTCGCCGCGCTCACCGTCCATGTTTCGCAACCCTACAGCGCCGCGTTCCAGGCATACACCTTTTAACTTTTTCGAATTTCTAAATTAATCGTTCGCGAGCATAGAAGTGACTTCCTTTTATTGGAGCCGACTTGCCCCTGCGCTATCCTCTGCTCTATATTCCTATTACTCCTTCCGTCCTACCAACCTATCTCGCCTATTTTTTATTGACTTCCATAGAGTCCTCTGTTCTGCTATTCTTTCTAATACCTCTTCATTTCTAACCATTTCTACCCACGTTATCCTCATCATCCGCCTACAACACCACATTTCGAACGCTTCTAACCTTTTCTTTTCGGCCGCGCCCACTGTCCATGTTTCGCACCCGTACAACGCCGTGCTCCAAACATACACCTTTAACAATCTTTTTCGAATTTCTAAATTAACGGTTCGCGAGCATAGGAGTGACTTCTGTTTATTAAAGGCGACACGACCCTGCGCTATCCTCTGCTTTATATCCCTACTACTCCTTCCATCCTGATTTATCTGACTTCCTACATACCTAAAATCGGTCACTTCTTCTAATTTTTCGTCTCCTATCTTTATATTTGCTCTTTTATTACTTTTTCTTCCCTTGCAAACCAGTATTTTTGTGTTTCTCTTATTTATTTTCATACAATACTGTTTTGTCAATACCGTTTCCATTTTATTTAAATCTATCTCTAACTCCGCCTTGCTAGATGCTAATATGTACTTCTATATCATCTACAAGTCTAATCATACTAATCTATTGCGTAACATATAACCTAATTCGTTTTTATCAAAACTTTTTTATTAAAACGCGATTCAATTAATTTAAATTCTTGTTAAGGATGCAGCTTTTTGTCAATCAACTAAAAGTTGTGACATCAAATTCTTATTTTTTGAAAGCAAATTTAAATGCTTATCTCAATAATATATTCCATGTCTAAGGGTGGAAATATGGGGGATGATATCCGTCTATTAACCTATTAGTTTAAGTTTTTCTGTTTCTCTAAAAAAAAACAATTTGTGTAGAACAGGTTATAAATCTTCCATTAAGCATTGCCTAAAAATATTGAAAGCCTCTCATGTTTTCACTCACATATATATAATGTATTTGTTAATTCAAAATTAATTTTTGGCGAAAAGTGTAAATTGTAAGAATTAATTCAGAATTGCTACTAAAACTAAAAATTACATGCTTAACACATTTCCTCCACAATTTTATGTTAGGTCCACCAATAACTCATACGACAGTAGTAGATGGCAAAAGTATGCTATCTCAAGGTAACAAAACCCGGTCGGATACATCACACATAGCCACAGGACCGTACACCATGAGAACGCCCACAATGTCGACTTACTGTCAACAACTATGGGTGATTGCCAAAATTACAACAGAAAACACAGATGGTGAACTAACTTCCCTAAACCATTCTACGACAAAATGCAGTTGACTTATTACATTTTTCAGAAGAAATATATGACAAAACATTCCATGTAACGGTGTCTATCGATGGACTGACGGAGGAACATAAACCAACTCCAATACTTCATAGCAGAAATCCAAAAAATAGGTAGGTTTATTTAACCAGTGTAATGTTCTTGACAAGATAGAGAATAGGCGACGGTGATAATCAAATGAATGGTGATAGAAAAAAGGACTTATCCCAATTTACCGCATCATACTTTACTGGGTCAACCAAATCAATTACTTATGTGGATTTTAATCGAGCTCATCAGGTGATGTGGTATCTTCTCAGTAAAGTTGGTTGTGGTAAAGAGTGACCCCACAATCAGGTCAAATTTCCGGGAAAGTATAAGGAAATTTCGGTAAAAATTCTATGTTGGGAATAAGAAGAAATTCGTCTGCCAACGCTAATTTTTGCTGGTTAGCTCCTCGCTGTCATAAGGACTCGTATCTGGTAATATACTGCTGCTAACTATTAGTACTGTTCGTTTCAGGAAGTTAGAGATATGCCCCTTCTTTTTATTAGGATGTGCCGTAGTATAATTCCAAATTCAATAATATTTGTCTGCGGAGCTCATATCTCCACCGATCATCGAGCGAGAACTAGACAAAAATGTACAGTACCATATGCAAAATTATTTAAACTGCCTCGTTAAAATTTAAGAATATGCTTTATTTAAAAGCATATTTAGCCAAAAATAATAACAAGTGAATTAACTTAACGTTCTACACACCTATAAAACTTTAGCTTTGTTTTCTATTGTTAATTTATATACATTTTTGTTTTAAGAAATTGCTAAACATTTTCGTCTAGTACTGTACAGTTCTAGCCGATCTTATAAGACCGCCGATCGAGAGCTCTGCTCGTTCAAGCTTGTTCCAACTATTTCTGTCTTGCTAGTGTGTATTCTTTCTATCTTCGCGAAGATTTCTTCAAGGTCACAATTTCAACAAATGGAAATGGACTGTATATAGAGTAGAAAAAAGCAGCACCACCAAAACTAATCAGCAGTACTATTAGTTATTGGGATAAGAACGCATAGACACTAAATTTGTTTAGAATTTTATATTGAACTTACACCTACTGTACACCTTAAATTACACTATCGACTATGTACATCGAAACTTGTCTATTTGAAACTATCTTAGTCTATTTCTGCATTGTATGATCTCTGTCTGCATTACATGATCTGTCTTTGGATTATATGAATCTGTGTTTGAAATTACATGAATTACACTCTACATTGTACGAATCTGATCTTAGAAACTAAAAACTACAACTTATATAAATTTCAATATGTAAATAAAGGGGGTGAAGTGTAGGAGCCCCTTCCTAAATATTATGGACGACAAGCTTTATTGGTCATTAGAAATAGGGGTGGTTCTGGTAGACACAATAGTTTAAGATTTCACTATCTGACCCATTTTCGAGTGAAAGTTTGAACGCTTATAGGGCAATAAAATTAAACGCTTTGAGCCCTCGATGGACCTGCACATCACAATTCATGGCTTTATGCTATCAACCCTAACCAATTTGTGTACACATTTAATCTTTAGATTTATTACGGTGCCATCCATAACACTATTTTACTATTTACTAGCGACCCGCCCCAGCTTCGCACGGGGTGTAATGCTGATACTAAATATATTTTTGTTTTGTTTAGATTATTATCGAGAAAGGAAATATAAAATAGACAACCCCTGAACACATTAAATATACTACAGAATGTCTTTATACACAACATTCACAGTTTTTTTGTCATTAGACAATAATACAAACCGGCCTCCCGTTCGGTAGCGCCGCAACCGCTATGTTTGCATTTTAAATCTGTAATATCTTCGAAAATATTCATTTAAATTACATATTGATATATATTAATGCACTATGTATTTAAGGTACTTAATTGGATAAGAATTAATGCCGTGTTGCTTACAATCGTTTCGTAAATAAGTCATTATTTCTCATAAAAAGTAAAGGATAAAAAATGGTTATTGTGGATTATCCCTAAGAGATAGACATATACTATCATAGACTTTTTTGTAGATCTTTTTAAGATGTACAATACTTTAGTACATTATTTTGATCCTTCTCGTAGGGTTCAGCCAGCGTTTGCAATGTAAGCGCAAAAAAATGTGTTTTACGACATCACATTGAAAACCTCTAAAATTATTAGGGTTTCTCTACTATATTATGCATGTATTATAGATATAAACCTTCCTCTTGAATCACTCTATCCACTAAAAAAAACCGCATCAAAATCCGTTACGTAGATTTAAAGATCTAAGCATACATAGGGACAGACAAGGGGAAGCGACTTTGTTTTATACTATATAGTGATAGTGATAAGCACAAAATAAACCCTATTCGAAATCGAAACAAACGATTTTGATTTTGAAAGAAACTATTATTTGATAAAAGCAAACGTTAAAAAGAAACTGAATTTTTAGTGAGACGAATTGATGAATATGACTTGAACATAACTAATCATAATCAAAATATTTCAAAAATATTACGAAAACCTTACCTGCTTTTTATTGAATCAACTTCGTAGTTGTAGCTTCCATTATTCGTTTGATGAACAGGAGACTTCTATGTTCCAATACTTCATTACACTAAAAGGAAAAATGACCAGTTTTTATTACATGCTTCTCTTTAATTTTCAGGACAAGACATTTGAGTTGTATAAGACAGGATTGTGAAGAGTTTATAGTTCTCCATTTAGGCTTTTTGGATTACAATCACTACATAATCACCGTCCGATTCTATGACTTGGAATCATTCCATTTTAGATATAACATAAAATCTGTTACGTTTTACGTAAGTTTTTTTTTTATTAAAGCAAGTAATTAATTATAAAAAGAAAATGCACGCTATTCCTTTCATGGTGATACTTATTATACTTTATTAGAATTGAAAGTTTTATAATCCGCGACGATTTGTGAGCAGATCTTCTGAAGAATAATTGTAATTGTGGAAACGTCGAAAAAGGTTGACAAATTACACGTCATGCTTTAAACTTAGCCTTTGAATTAGAAACAAGTTCTCTTAGTGGGAGAAAAAATTATAATACAATGTCTGAAAAGCGTAGGTACTTACATTATTAGTCAATAATGCGTATGTAATTTCTTAGCAATTTTATAAACATTGGAAGAAAGTTTTAAATAGAATTTTCTATCTTAATCCTCCGCTAAAATTGTGTGGAGTCAATATTGATAAGGTTGCGCCTCCGCTGTCGGTAATTATAGTCACAACAACATCCGCTACGTTCATGTCGCCTTTCTGCTAATTTACGAAAGCCGTTATATACCCTCAAAATAGGAATTAAAACACAAAAAAATGTATTGCATCAACCGAGAACAGAACTCGACTCGCCTGCTTGCCAAGCGGACGTTGTAACCACTGAACCATTGACTGCGTCCAATATGTTTATGTTATCTATGAGGCAGCGGAGGCACTACCTATCAATAAATACCATGTCTTTCCCTGATATTTAATAATTTATTACAGTTCAAATCATTAAAGGATGAAAAGTTATTTATTAATTAGATAATTAGGACTTAATGCTTTGACGCCACTCCACATAAAATCCGACAGAAGAAAATGGAAACCACAAAAATTGATTTAAAAAAAACATAGATTAATATTTTCCTACATAACTATGAGAAATAAAACGTCTTTTGAATCAGTTTTGTAATCAAAATAAAATTAGTTTTTTGTTTAAGTTGAAGTAGGGAAATGCATTGCCTAAACATGGCACAGACAGCCTACGTAATGCTTAAATGACCCCTGATAAATTATTTAAAAGTTTTCATCAAGTTCTTGGACATATCTTCTTGAATTTTCAATAAATAAATTAACAATAAACAATTTACCTTAGCATTGGCGAAATGAATTATGTAGCATGCCGTATATAATAAACCGTCAATAAACGTCTCTTTAAGTTTATTAATATCCAAAAATACACGTTTAATTTGGCCATTTTCAGTTCAAAACCTACGATCCTGCGTTTACACAAGTGGAAATATGGTTTAGATTTATATTCCTGTTTACAACATTCGTTTTCACCGTAAGTATTACACAATCGATTGTGAAATAACATTTTTAGTAGATAGTTACAAGTAAGTGAAGATAAAAAGCACACTTTTTAATACTTTAAACACGTTTTAAATTTAGACTTTACCTACAATCGTTTCGACGTCTAATGTCTTTATTATTAGAAGTACTTTTACGTTTGGTTTGTGTCGATTTGAGTACTGAGTCTACTGAAAATTGGAGTCAGTAGTAACCCTGCAGAGTCTTAAAGTGAATTAATCGAACTAGGGACGCTTTTTGAATAGATATTACCCTTAAATGTTTTAAATTGCATTTATTACTTCATTATTTATATGAAAAGATGGCTAAAGATTTTCCTATATTAATCCTAAGTAGGATTATAAATACGAATATGAGTTTCTTTGTTTGTTTGGTTGGTACAATTTCACGCCTTAATTATTTAATCGATCATCATGAAATTAAGTACACACATGGTCAGGAGTACAGAAAAGGACATAGGGTACCTTTTATCCAGAAATAGAATACCGTTCCCGAGGGATAGAAAAATTAATTTTATATGACTCCTAATGATATTTGACACGTATTTAAGACATCAACGCGAGTAAAGCAGAAGGTAAAACCTATCATGACATTTTGTACACACATTAAAAAGGACATAGGGTACCTTTTGTCTAGAAAAAAATACAGTTCCCGAGGGATATCAACGTAAAGGAAGCCGTTGGTAGAATCCTATCATGACATACATAATACACACATTGTCACATTGATGTTTCATAAATAAGCAGTTGTTTTTCCCTAGGAACATGTCACTGCCAAAGCTAACCAATCATGAGTATGTCTAGGATATGCTATGATTTGTTAACAATGTCGTACCCTATTGTTATTCCAATTTTTTCAATAATAACTTTCTGTTTCGTGCTCACTTTCCTACTAGATTGAAATTTCTTCAATTGATTCTCACGATTAACAAATTAATAAAAAAATTTCAGTGTTGGTTCGCACATACTCTCCGAAAATACGTTGTCTATGACTGGTCAATAGAACAGAAATGGATGTCAGTGTTACTGCCTTTATTAATGCTCTACAACAGTAAGTACTACCAATTTTTGTTCTAAAATTGTTACTAACGTTATTCTAGAATCAATAACAAGAGTTACCTAGGTACCATATTTCTTAATGCATTGTAAAATAAATATAATGTATTTAAAACACATTCTTCATCATCATGTCGTCAGTTCTAAGACTGGTTGGACACGCACTTCTACTGTTTTCTATCCTGAGCTAATCTTCGTATTTCCCTAAAACACCCCACATCACTAACTACTTATTAGTGAACAATAATCTAATGTAGGTCTACCTCTACTCCTGTTTCTTCTTCTAATATGCCTCTGACTAGCCCTTCATGCCTGAGAAGGTGTTCTACCAACCTATCTCGCCTATTTCTTATTGACTTCTTGTCCTCTGTTCTCCTATTCTTTCTAATACCTCATTTCTAACCTTCTCTATCCACAGTATCCTCATCATTTGCCTGCAACACCACATTTCGAACGCTTCTAACCTTTTCTTTTAAAACTCATTGTTGCAAATTCACGATATGATTAGTACTTCCCCAATCGTGCTAGTTGGACAGATCTTGTTTTATTCTTGCAACTAAAATTTTATATTCCTTTTAGATCCCATGTTTCCAATGATGTTTTTAGTAAATTCCTGGATACCAGGAATGATTGATGCAGTTGCTCAAGCCACATTTTTGTGCGCTCTACTATTATTTTGGTTATGTATCTACCACGGTCTCAGACAGGTAAGTACTTAGCCGATTTAATTGCTCATGCTGACGGTGCAAGTAAATTCAATTTTTAGAATAACAGAAAGGTATTTTTCTTTTACTTTCCGAAAGTTTTCATAGTTGCCATGCTATGGTTATCCGCAATAATTTTGGCTGCCTGGCAAAAGTACAATGAGATGCAAGATCCGACTTACAACCACACGACAGATACCAAAAATTTTTACGTAAGTGGAAATAAGTTTAATTAATAATTTACCTACTAATGTCACCAATTTGTTCTCTTTAAGGCTTTGAAAGTATTCTTTTTTACTTTTGGTGGACTTTACTTCGCTTATTTAGTACTTTTGGTGTTAAAGGCTTACAGTGAATTACGATGTATGCCATTTTTTGGTAAGAAACACTTTCGTCACCTACTTAATTTCTGTTAGCAATTATTATTTTGAATAAACCAAACTTATAAATTGAATTTGTAGATATGCGTCTAAAATTTTTGACACTTCTTATGCTTGTGGTTATTGCCGTAAGTTTAACTGTAACGATTCTCCGTTTCGGGGTTGGAGTTTTGGAAGATAATTTTGTCGCCGAATTATCTACCACCTACAATAGTTCTGCACAATTTATGTCATTTTATGGCCTCCTTAACTTTTATCTCTACACCATGGCGTATGTCTACTCACCAGGAGATAGAGCAAGTTACGGTGAGTAAAAATAAGCACCACTCGACCCACTGCGAAATACACTTTCGCAAAGCTGGAATTTATTTTCAATTTCACCTATTTCCGAAAATTACTCTGGTCAGTGGTCATATCAAAAGGGAATTTAATATTTTATTTAAAATATAAGTAGTTAATTTATAATGGTAACAATTTATTATTAATGAAAAGATAAAAATAATTTTCGTAAAACATTTGAAACAATAATTCAGTGATAGTTAATGAATACGTATTACAAAATATTTTTAAATTGGTAATAGTCGTATATTACATCATGATCTACGGTAAAACACAGAAAATAGCTGAGAGATCATCTGGGTAGGCTAAGACGGTTGTCCGCCTCACCACCCTGACTCACTTCCAATGATTGAATCTGATTTACATTATTTTTATTTCCGCCATTTAAATTATCATTAATTGACCTATTAATCGAACGTAGGTGTTGGAAAAAATAGAAAACACTTCACTCTGCTTTTTAAAAATAATCAAACATACCTAGGCAATCACAGCTTTGTTGTTGTGAAACATCAACTAATTAAAACAGTTTTCGTAGTCTTAAGTAGGCCTAAGTACTGGTGAAACTATTGGTGGTAATTCATATTCAATTTTCATTATCAATAATTCAATATGTAAGGAAAAGCACGTGTTTGATGGCTCTTCCGGTGTACTGCTGTACCACATTAAAATGAATCAACTCTTCTAATTGGCTTAAAGAATTTAATTCACTTAAAAAATACGGATATATACAAATAAATACAAAACTTAAACTACCGTGGAAACTTATGATGAAATAAAAACTAACTACATAAAAAGAGATAAGATTGACTGAATAATTTGATGTTTAAGACAGCGACTTTTGTAATGAATAATGATATGCAAGATGAATGATGTTAATGTTGTGAAAAGCTTGTGATGACTCCTTTTGGTTACTGAAAATGCGAATATAAATACAATTG